ACCAGCCTAAAGAGATAAATATACAAGCTTAACAATTACAGCATCACACACATAGGGTGTTCACTTGCCTTTTGACAGTCTATCCAGGAAGCTTTTTATTGTTTTCTCTGCAATGTATTCTCCTTCACTGACTTTTTAAAAATTGTATTTTGGGTGGTATCTGCTACTGTCTCCTTCTGTCCTGCCTCCTTTCTGAAACACATAGTATGCACTTCTGAAGTTGAGATTCATCCTATTATTTATAGTAACTAGATAACCCTTCACGCTCCTGCTGGTTCCACATCCATGCCTTCAACAAACATTGCTTTTAAATTTCAAGTTGCATTTGCACTGAGCATAAACAGTCGACTTTCTAATCATTATTCCCTAAATAACACAGTAAGACAACTATTTGCACAACGTTTACATAGTATTTGGTATTACAAGTAGTCAAGATATGCTTTAAAGTATAAGGGATAGTGTAAATAGGTTATATGAAAATCCGCCATTTTGTATAAGGGATTTGAGCATTCTCAGACCTGGAACCAAATTCTACACAGATACCAAGGGACAGTGGTATTTAGTATGGCATTGTTCTCCCGCCTTCTTTCCAACCTGTGTTCCCAAACCAACTCTCATTAAATCAGTGGAGGAATTTACAATTCATCAAGCTGGGAATAGCCTTCCAATCTGCCTACCTGGAGGGGAGGGAGCACAGCTGTTGGTGTTTGTATTATCTAAGAAGATAAACCACATTGCTTGTCGGATTGAGACCTGGGGAGACTAAAATTAAGAACCTCGGGCTCTCTTAGACTGAGAGAAAGAGAGGAATTTTAAAAAGGTGACAACTATGAGAGAGAAGATTTTGTTTTTTATATAACTGGACACATCTAGTGGTTTCTCCTTTATCTCTCCAAATTTGTTTTAATATTCTGAACCCCACTCTCAGACAATTCAATGATATTGTATTTGTTCACATAGCTGAAAACAAATCAGTCTTTTGATGTGTCACAGAAGGAACAGATCAAACTTACAGTCTGAAGCCTCCACTTGTATCTTTCTCCTTTTCACAACAGAATCCCTCGGTCCCCAAACTCCAAGTGTGGTGACTGACAGCTCATAATTGAATTCTTCTGGAAAGAATATTTACTGCTAGAGAGAACAGTCTAACCTAAACCCACATTCCCATCCTGAAAGTGGTTCACATCCAGTCACAGGCTGAGGATGTAAAGACTGGGACTGGGACCTAGTTTTAGACAACAAAAAGTGACCACAGTATAGAGCAAGTGATGCAGCTTGGTTGGAGCTTTTGTTGGGAATACCTCATCACCATATATCTCTTTCCATCTCTCTCGACTCCCTTCTCTTTTCCTCAAAGACTGATGAAGATGTACCTACCTCCCCAGGATCTGTCACAGCTGATGCGCTATAAGTTGTCAAAAGTACTTTGAAATAAGATTTGGAGCTGGGTCATCCATGATCCCGTGAATAACAATGGCTCTTGCCATGAAAGGCAGACAGATCAAGGAATGAGAGAAAATTTTCGTCAGTGGAGGACAGGGACAGTGGCAAGCACAATGAACAGGTCTTGAGGATGATGTGCTGTAGAAACATAGATGAAGTAATAACAGTATGGTAACCGATCTAATTAAAGACAAGTGTGAACATCAAATCCTTCTTTGGAGCATATGGGGTGACAAATCTCCTACCACTAAGGGCAGACAAAGCTGAGAATCAATTCCAGGACATAACATATAGGAATAGCACATTCGCTATAACTCCATATTCCTGACAGATCTACCATGCCACTGTTCAGGCCCTGGAAAGAAAAAAAAATGGGAACTATGAAGCATGAGACAGAGATGTCTAGGTTGATAAATTCAGCAGTATTGAGTTCTCAGATTCTCCTGGATTTTCTGGAGAAGCAGCCCACTCTTTCCAGTTAAAATTTAATGACATGGGTGTGTGGGTTAATATCAGGGTTTTCAACTCGATTCCATTGGTCTACCTTTCTATTTTTGTGCTAATACCAATCTGTATTCAGGACTATAGCTCTATAATAGAGCTTGAAGTAAGGGATGGTAATGCCTCCAGAGGTTCCTTTATGGTACAGGGTTGTTTTGGCTATTGCAGAGGTGACTCCAAGGTTAAGAGCAATTGTTGCTATTCTGGAGCATCCCAGTTCAGTTCCTCATACCTGTGTCAGGCAGTTCACAACCACTGTACCTCCAGCTCCAGAGGATCCAATAACTTCTTTGGGCTTCTATAGGCATGTACACATGTAGCATACATTAACTCAGACACACACACACACACACACACACACACACACACATATATATATATATATATAAAATCAAATGATAAAAATAATTCTAAGTTAATTTCCCTGCTAATAGATGACAAAGTAGAAAGGTCCCCACTCAGGCAAGACATTGCAGACTCTACTCAGCAGCTACTCAGATCTCCCTTCTGCCCACTGAAATAATAACTCGGTTTACGTCGCAACAATTTTTTTTCTTTTTAAATTTCTTTTTATTTTTTATTACAACAAAATTTGACTTAAGCTATTGACTTCTTAAAGTATTTATGGAAGGAAAGAGCTAAGCAGCTGTAGGATCTAGACATAAACTGACAGGAACCAGAGGAACCCATGTGAGAATGAATTCTGCGTGCTAGTATATGAGTGAAACATAATGGCAGATAATGGAGAGTTGATAGATATGAAAGTAATACAGGGCTTAGTGTTTAGTGAGTCCCAGAGAGTGATAATATTTCAGTTACTAGGAGGGCTCATAGGAGGTTACAGGAAGCAATGGCCTACATTAAGTCATGTAGACATATTGCAATGTAAAATGGAAGGGAAGACCAAAAGCATTACAGAAGTATGCATTCCTGGATATATCAGGTAATGCTAAAATCCCACCAAAGGTCTCTGACCCAGAAACCATTCTGCTAAACAAAATAAGAAGCCTACGGCTCCAAGGGAGGCACTATCAGTGGGCATCTCAGTGTTGGCCAACTTCTGACAACAGGCAGAACAGCTACTAAGAGGAAGGACCCTTAGTAAGCTATGAAGACTCTTAGAAGAGCCAGGTATCCCTAGAGGGGACAGGCAATAGTAGGAGCTGTGGTGAATCCCAGGAACTTCTACTTAAAAGTTCCTCCGAGTGAAAGGCCACATGAGTGGTTTCCAGGGAATAGATGAGGCAAGGAGACTTGAATGTAGGAAGGAGCCACGGATGGAAGTGGGTTCTGTGTTGGGACATCCTTCACCCCAGCTGCTAAGAATATTAGCAAATGGCAGCTCTATTTCTTTCTGTAGGGATTGTGTTCCACTGAGGAAAGACATTTTCTCACAAGCATCCTTCCCTTGAGGGAAGTTCCAACAACTGGTCCATCAGGAACTATGAAAGCCCTCCCCCCTTACCTTATTCAGACCCAGGCATAGAGCTGTTCCTGGGCCACAGTTCTCCTTGGCATCATCTAAGGCCTTAGTGATTACTTCCAAGCCTGACTTCCTGTCTTCTACATTGTTTTTCCATCATTTCCCCTTGGTTTCACACTAAGAGTGCCCCCAACAAACTTCACGAATGCAGATCTCTTTCACATGGAACCTGAACTGCAATATTTCCTCTCTCACCACACCCTACATCAGGCGTTTGTAAATGCATGTGATGTACTTACTACAGCAGAAGGATCTGGAATCCTATGATGTATCTTTCTCTATACCCCTGATTCAACTCATTGCAGAATGGAGAAACAGTAATAGGCCAAAAGCTTGATACCAGCTAAATACAATGTGAAGAACCAGTTCTCCTGAGCATCTAGTATATGTTTCACTATTGCAACTGTCCTAGGTTAGTTTTCTGTTTCCATGAAATAACCCTAACCAAACGCAACTTGAGGAGAGAGGAAATGATGTATTTCTCCTTATAAGTTACAGTTCATCATTGAAGGAAGTCAGGTCAGAAACTAAGACAAGAGCTGAAGTAAGAAGCCATGGGAAGTACTGCTCATTGGTTTGCTTACCCTGGTTCTCTCAGCTTCTGTTTTTAATACAACCCAGGACCAACCTCCTAGGGGTGGCATTACCCATAGTGATATGGGCACTCCCACATCAATCAGTAATCAATAAAATGTCCTAGAGACATGCTCATAAGCCAATCTGATGGAGGCAATTCCTCAATTAAGGTTTCCCCTTGTGAGGTGACTCTAGTTTGTGTCAAGTTGTTAAGAACTAACCAGAGAAATTAGTTTCATTTTCTCTTTTCTTGAGAGTTTAAAATAGGTTCTGTGGGGGAAATGGGGTCTATTCTGCCTTCCCAATAGAGCTGCCATCTCTTTTGCTGGGTTCTAACCTCAGTCCTGACTGATTCTCAGCCTTGCAATCCAGTTTCCCTTTCACCTTAGTTTCTTCACATAGTCCTTTTTATTTTGTATTAGTTAAAACTTTTCATTTACTTTATATCCCAACTGCAGTTCCCCCTTCCTATCCACCCATTTGCTCCCTCTACCTTCCCTCTGTTCACCCCCATCCTCTCCTCTGTTTCTGTTCAGAAAGAGACAGGCCTCCCCTGTGTGCCAACAAAGCGTGGTCTTTCAAGTTGAAGAAGTACTAAGCTCCTCTCCTTGTATTAAGGCTGGACAAGGCAATCTGGTATGAGGAATAGGCTCCCAATGCCAACCAAAGCGTTAGGGACAGGCCCTGCTCCCGCTGCTAGGAGTCCCACAAGTAGATCAAGCTACACAACTGTCACACATATGTAGAGGGCCTATGCCAGTCCCATGCAGCTCCCTGGCTGTCAGTCCAGAGATCTCAACTTCCCCACCACCTACCACCCACCCTTACTCCCCTATCCTCACTCCTACCTGGCTCATACAATACCTTCTCCTCTTCCTTACCTGAGCTCAGCCAGGTGCTTGACTGTGAATTTCTGCATCTGTTTCCATCACTTACTGGATGAAGGATCTCTGATGACAATTGGGGCAGTTCCAGACCTGATTACAGGAGATGGCCATAAAATATGGAATACCATGACCACGAATTTGCCTGTCATCCTTGCCCAGGGGCAATGCTAATCTTCTCTATATCATTCCAATTTTAGTATATGTGCTGCCTAATTTAGCACAGTCCTTGTTATTTTTGTATTTCACACATTTCCCAAGGCAACTTCAAACCCTGTGTGTGTGTGTGTGTGTGTGTGTGTGTGTGTGTAAGACAAATGAAGAACCCATTAAGTGAAAATGAGGAAGGAATAAGGAAAGGAGAATGGAAAAGGTCATGCTACCACTGGCGGAAGAGGAAAAAGGAGTTGCATTAGTCAGAATGCAGATTGCCATAGTCGTCTGTGTGACTATTGTTTTCAGAACTCAGTACAAAGAAGCATTTGCCTACATTACACAGTTAAATGTGTGTGATGCAAACTACAGTAAAGCAATTGAGTCTGGCTGACCTGTTGCCCTAACTGAAGGCTTTGGTTCCAGGGTGTGTCCTTAGACATTGCCTCTCAGACTCTGAGCACTCAGAACACTGTGCACAGTGCAGGCAGGAGGGAAGGCCGCAGAAGGAACAAAAAGGGATCGACATTGATGTAGACGCAGCTATAGAGGAAGATCTAGTCTCTGTTTGGCCATGGAAAAATACTGGTTATAATTTCAGATTTCCAGATTCTTGTCCAATTCTGTCCTTTTCCTCTAGGCAGCCTGTTTTGGTTTTGCTTTTTTGTTTGTTTGTTTGTTTGTTTGTTTTTGGTGTTTTTTCTTTCAGGGTTCCATGGTAAGTTTGCCCTGAAACCATGCTGGGATAGAAACCTAACAGCGTTTGAGTTTGTTTTTCTTTTCCTGAGTTGGATACATCCTAAATCACAGTAACTGCCAAGTCCCACTTGATGCTCAGGTCCTTCCTTCCTTCCTTAGTTAGTAATTGCTTGGAAAAATAAGACTCTGATTTTCAAATGCAACAGAAATTTGAATACAACTTGCACATGTGGAACTTCACAGGATTTTGTTGTTGTTGTTGTTGTTGTTGTTTCTAGAAGGTAAATTATCATGATTAATGCCAATTCTACTCATTGTACTCCTGGGCCACTTGGTCCCCTGTAGAGGAATGAGAAAATAAAACCAACCTAGAATGCATTTGTCTTCATTTCAAATGTGTGTGCTGCTTGGCTTTATTTCTTCAGCAGTGTGCTCTGTCAGTCTTTAGATAGGGTTACTAAACATTCTTGTGCTTCCCAGAGGATTAACAAGGGACCTGCTTTATTTGGGACCAAGCTTGTCTCTCATCCCAGCTTCCTGGCTTCAGGTGCCCAGTGTTTCTTTATAGGTATTTCTTTCCAAGGAGAAGCAGGTATGGGCACATTGGTTCAGACCACCACACTGTGGGGTGAACATCAAGGATGTTTCTTTTAAAATTTTCTTGCATTTACTTATGCTTTAAAAAATAAAAGTAGCTAAAAGGAAGAGTCTTTAGTTTCCTAAAACATAGAAATTATAAATAAGTGAAAACGCTAATTTTCCTAATCTACTCATCATACATTGTATACGTAAATCGTACTACTGTATATCATAAATATATAGAAATGTCTTGTGTTGATTAAAAATAAAATAAGGGGTTGGCCCTTCAAAGCTACTGTGAAGAATTCAGAAATCAGAACAGTAGATCAAATATATCTTTAAGATCTTGATTTTTCTGGGGTGAAAGTATGGAAGCTTGATTGCAATAAACATGTATATCAAAACGTCTAGTTGTACACTTTAAATACATACGATTTTAATTTCTAAGTCATATTAAAATAACCCTGGGAAAAATCAGGTGCTTGATAGGGACTGGAGAGATGACTCAGCACTTTAGAGCATCTGTTGCTCTTGCAAAGGACCAGGTTTGATTCCCAGTACCTGGATGGTGACTCAAAAGTGTAAGTAACTCCATTGTCCGGGGTTCTGATTTCTTCTACTGACCACCAGGGAAACCAGGCACACACATGTAATACAATTACATAAACATAGACAACATTCAGACACAAAAAATAAATAAATTATAATAATTATCATTATAATTACAAATTATAAATAATAATTATTATTAAGGTTCTGGGATTGTAGGCACATGTAGCACCCACGCAGTCCTAATGTTCTATTTAGAAAGTCTAACCAGGGTACAAAAGTCTACCAGGATACAGACTTGGAGCAGTGCACTGTGGAAAATACAGGACTTGAGCTAGCACACAGTATGGAGGACTTCCTAACAAGCCTGGGAAAATAGTATTAACTGTACAGGCTCTACTCTGCCCAAGAAAATAAGCACTGTGGAAAATGGGAACAAAATATAGTTTGGGCTGTTAGCAATGTCACACATACCATAAAGTTTGGTTTATTTATCTGTGACACTTATGACAGTGATAGATTAAATCAGGAGTGTTGAAATATATACAGGGAGGCTTGGGAGATAGCTCAGCTGGTAAATTGCTTGCTGTGCAAGCATGTGCCTACATGAAAAACCAAGTGTTGGGAGGCCAAGGCTGGTAGATATCTATTAAGTTTGAGGCCAGGCCAGCCATGGCCACCTAGTGAACCCCATCTCAGAGAGAAAGAGAAGGGGTCCAGATATGGGAATGGGGCTGAGGAGATGTCTCAGTGATTAAGAGAGACTACTGTTCTTGCAGAGGACCTGGGTTCAACTCCCAGCAACCATGCTGGGTGGTTCAAAACTGCCTGTGATTTTTAACTCCAGGGGATTCAATGCCCTCTTCTAGCCACTGTGAGTACCTGCATACAAAGGTGGCACAATACACCCCTGCATGTATACACGTGAAGAAAAATAAAATCTTAAAAACTGTAGGATGATGAAAGCAGATTATGAACTTGAAGACTGGCCAGACAGCCATATAGGAGATCTGTTATTTGTTCTATAACAATAGTGGAAAATTCCATTTCCATTTACCTTATGGCCTCCCTTCCCAAGACTTCTGCTGGCGCTTTTTCCTCTAAATACAAGTGCATGCCACCAAAGCTGTCTTTTCGAATGTGTGTTCTGGGAGGTTTAACTCAGGTCCTCTTGCTAAAAATGCAAGTACTTTACCAACTGAGCTCTCTCTCCAGCACTATCTCCATCTGATAATGACTTTATTGTATAAGTAACATTAGTCTCCTCCCACCAAGATATCTTGGACCAGGTATTTTCTCCATCTCTGTTGCTACCATGATCCTAATTATCACCATCTCTTCTCTGATCTGATCACTTCATCTCCTTGAGTACCTCCAGTTGCTAGACCACAGGACATAGAATCGTAAGTCAGCCTGATTCCCTTCCATAATTTGCATCCCCCAGTATAAGAATACATGAAACATGCCCTCTTAGCAAAATTTTATGTGAGAAAGTCTTGCTAATTACATCCCATTCTCTACACTAGTTCTCTATAACCTATTCGTCTGGCACAGCTGACATGCAAACTTTAGTTTTTACTGCTTTACTAAAAGATTTGAATCTGAGCCATGGGAATCATAGAAGTCACCCTGCATCATTTCCTCATCTTAGGAAGGTAGTTAGGGCTGAGTCACAACAATTTAGCACCACATGGAACCAATCCAAGTTTCCCAGGTTCATTTCCAATGGCTGATTATTGCTTGATCCCAGCACTTTCTTGAGTATTGTTTCTACAAGGCCTCGTCATCCAGCTTTTCATTTAGTGTGGCGAGCCACTCAGTATGTCTCCCCAGGGAAGGTGTGGTGAAAAATTTCCCTCAGATCTACAAATAAGCTCTAATTGGATGCCATTCATGACAAATGACTCAGAACATGATTAAAACAGTCCTGATGTTGGTAGACAGGCACTTTTTAAATTTTGTTCACTACTCTGTCCTTAGGGCCACAGTAATTCTACAATTAACTAACAAAATATTTGTCAGATAAATAATAGTCACAAAAAAATGATTTCCAACAAACAAAGGACCACACTGAAATGTGGACAAATAGAGCTTGCTTAAATATTAAAAGAAAATCAGCTTGGAGATGACCCTAAGATGCAGGTAGGGGTGGATGGCTAAAGCCAAGTCAAGAGAGATAACCTATAGTTAGGCCACAAAAATCATAATCCATATAAAGTTTGATCTGCGTGGAGAAAGGGGAATCTTTTCTTCAACTGAAGCAGGGGATAAAATGGGAGGCATGCACACTTCAACTGTAATAAAGAGATCTGTAGTATGATGATTGGCAAGAGATGAACTAGAAGCATCGAGAGTCTGCTGAAGTTCGAGACCTTTGTGGCTAGTCTAGGGAGGCAGTGATGTGCTACAATATCCTAAGATATTTTAAAGATCTCTAGAGATGAAGGCTTGACATGTTGGGTTGATGCTAAGATCCCTGGACCACTGACAAATGGGTGCAGATGGCACTGACCAGGCGAAGGAGCATATGGCTAAGAGCTGATGTTGAAGGGGTGGTGGTGGGGTGAGTGTTGGATTGATGAATTTAGGGATTGGTGGTCTAGACGTCCAAGAAACATCTGCAGATTTGGATATGGGACTGGGGAGAGGAGTAGAAGCCAGAAATGTGAATTCATAGTTAATGGCACAAAGAGATGACTGAAATTGTTATGTAGCAAAGTGAGGAAGCCAAAAGGAAAACCCAGAGCAAACCCCTAAGAACACCTGCACTGCATGAGAGAGAGAAAGGGGCCTGGAAATGTGCGACTGGAGAGAGGAGAGACACAGGGATGTTGAAGGAGCTTGATAGTGAGAATATTACAAGACAGAAAGGACAGTCTAAAGTGTGCCTGGGGGCTGGGGACATGATGTAGTGGTTAAGAACACTGACTGGTCTTCCAGAGGACATGGGTTCAATTCCCAGGAACCCAAAACCGCTATAACTGAAGTCCCAGGGGATCAAATGCCCTCTCTGACCTTGAAGGCACTGCATGTACACATGCACAAACATACATGCAGGCAACACGCTGGAGCACTTACAATAAAGTGGGGTGGGCAGAGAGCTTCTTTGAAGTCAACAGAAGGATGGCGTTGGTGGTGTATTTCTTATGAGAACCTCACCAGACTCAGTGAGGATGATTTCAATGAAGGAATCCTTTCGGATTCCAGGGTGCAGGGTTGAACAAAAGGGAGAGCAGAAGTCCAG